ACCGGCCTGCGTTGCGGATTCTCGGTTCGCAACCTCGGACTATATGCCCGAGGGAAATCAGATGTTTGGCGCGCATGTCCGGCAGTGCTGCGGACATGCTGGCTAGGATGCTTCAGAATACTGGAGGTGGGGGATATTGGTCTCGGCTACTCTACTACAGGGTGGTCGTTATCCTGTACGCGACCCCCGTCTGGGCCCACGCGGCGTCGAGGGTGGGCAATGATCGCCTCATCAACGCGGTGTGAAGGACTATCCTTGCCCGCGTGGTGAGGGCGTATCGCATCGCATCCTTCAGTGCTGTTTGCGTACTGGCTGGCATATACCCTGGTGCTGGTACTCGGAGAAAGGACGAAGAATCCTTCTTCGGCTGTCGGCTCTGGACCGGGGCTCGGCGGACTACCGGCTTCAGGCTGAGTCTGTGAAAAGAGAAGAGTAGCTTGCCACTGGAGCTATGTGGCAGGCTCAATGGAAAACCGAAAATTATGGTCGCTGAACCTATCGCCTGATCCCTGAAAGAGGCGACTGGGTCAGGTGGGGTCCGAAAGTCCTCGATTTTTACATGACTCAGCTACTCACGAGGCACGGTATTTTTCCGAGTTCGTGTGCAGGATAGATAAAAGGCGCGATACGGCCTGTCTGGTGTGTGGGCTGAGCTCTGATGACCCCGACCATGCTGTGGTGCGATGCGAGGGTTTCGCGGCGCAGAGGGTGACGCTTGAGGCAAATGTCGACCCTATCAGCATTAATAGTGTCGTCTCGATGCTGTGAAACAAAGGGACAAGAGATCTCGTTAAAACACACGCCAAAACTGTTATCTCTCGTAAAGACCCTCAGTCGCGGGGAACAAGGTCAGGCCGCGGAGCGCGGACGCCTTCCTGGACGTGCTAGATAGGGACTAGCTAACCGTGGCCTTCGTTAAACGACTGTAGACACTCATGAGTGAAGCTCACTCCTCCGCGCAAGAATCCTGAGAGGGGACACCGGGAAGGGAATTAAGGAGTACAAGGTCTGATGCCCGAGGAGTGGTTTAGTCGGTGTACCTGTATTTGCACCTTCCACCCAGGGAGTTCCACACATCCGCCCACTCAACATGTCTGGGGCTGCGTGCGTAATGCATTCTTCTCCGCCAAAAAAGTAGCATTTTTCAAAGGATGTATGTCAAAATTTCATGACATTCTGATAAATAGTTTACAGGTTATAGAGATTTTAGTGATCCCAATTTTGTAATTTTCAAAACAATAGATAAAAAAGAATTTCGTGTCTTAATTAAACATTGTTTTTGGATTGGGAAAAATACTGTTGAAGCCAAACAGTGGTTTAATAAGAATTATGGAGACTCCGCACCAGGGAAATTAACTATTACTCACCAAGACAATATGCCGTGTCACAAGTTGATGAAAACGATGGTCAAATTGAATGAATTACGTTTCGAATTGCTTCCCAGTGACTATTGGCTTTTTGCAGACATCAGAAAGATGCTTCAGGGAAAGAAATTTAGCTCAAATTGAGAAGTGATTGCCGAAACTGAAGCCTATTTTGAGAGCAAAGACAAATCGATTTGCAAAAAAGGCATCGAAAAGTTAGAGAAGCGTTGGAATGAATGTATCATTCTTGAAGGAAAGTATGTTGACGAATAAAATCGAATTTCTAAAAAAAAAATTTTCTTTTTAGCTAGACCAGAGACTTATTGAGCCATTTTTGATTGAGGGGGAAGTGTTGAACGAAAATGTTGATGATTTGTTGTTGAAATGAGTTCGATCGTGACGGCAACGGCCTCGCCCTACTACGTCGTCGTACCAACAAGACGTTGGCACAATTGGGAAGTTTGTGGTGTTCAGTGGACCATTGGGATGACCTGCTGGTCAAGAGAGAAACTCAATCCTAAATCGAGGTAAGCGTGTGTCCTCGAGATCCGCGCCAGGACCATCATTTTGGAGAAAATGGCCTCGTCGACTCGAGCGTAAGTCTACCAAGCAATACCGCGAGTGCATCGCTCAACGAACAGGATTTGGCGCGTGTCGGTATCTTCACTGCGTCGTTCTGATCTGTCAAACCAAAATTATCGTTCTACCAATTAGAGGCCCAGTTCTCCATCGCTGGGATTTCTTCAGACCAAACCAAATACTTCTACATCTTCCAGAGCCTCTCCAATTCCGCGCTGAGCGAGGTATCCGATATATAGGCAAGAGTCACTCATCAGCGTCGTCTTATCCTTTCCGGAACCTGCTGTTGAACTGTCATTACGGACCGATGCCTCTAACATCGCTATTAGAGCAATTCTCCAACGAAGTATTAAAGGTCAACAAAACAACCATTGAGCTTCTTTTCAAGTAAACTAGTCCCTATGCAGCAGCGGTACTGCACGTACGACTGAGAGCTATTGACTGATTATGAGGCTATCAAGCACTTTCACCACTTCTTGGAAGGACTAGAATTCTGTTTTCACAGGCCACAAACCGCTGGTGTTCGCTTTCAACAAGAAGTCGGACCAGTCGGCACTGAGACAAATTCGACATTTGGCCTACATTTCAAAATTCACCACTGACTTGCGTCACGTGACTGGCGAAGAGAATGAATGCTGACCATGATCGATCGATTCACCCGTTGACCCGAGGCGGTTTCTCTGGTCAACATCACTGCGGATTCTGTGGCGAACGCGTTCTTCCCACATTGGATTGCCGTTTCGGCACTGCAAAGGCAATCACAACGGGCCAAGGTAATCAGTTCGAGGCTGCACTCTTTGAAGCATTTGTCAAGCTGGTCGGAGGACAGCGTTGTCGGACGGTAGGCTACCACCCCGAGGCCAATAGTTTAATCGAGCGATGGCATCGCTCACTGAAGGCTGCTATCATGTGCCACGAGTCGAACGACTGGATAAGCATGTTGCCTATCGCGCCGTTGGGCCAGCGCACATGCCTTAAAGGAGGACTTGAAGTGTTCTGCGGCTGAGCTGGTGTATGGTACCACCCTCACAGTTCCTGCTGAGTTCTTCAGCCACGAGGAACCAGACAGCGATCCGCACATATTCCTGGAGGAATTTCGCCTCCTCATGCAAAAACTGTGACCGATGCCTATCGCACACCACATTCGCAGCAGGGTCTTCCACTATAAGGACCTTTACACCTGCACCCATGTGTTCGTTCGACGGAATGTTACAAAGCATTCCCCATTGCAGCCATATTTAGATTCGCATCCACTTGTGAAGCGTATTTCGGTCGAACGTCTGAAGCCAACATTCCTCGCTGTTGAAGAATGAGCTGTACCGATAGGGAATCCCAACGTCATGCAAAGTGACTTATACCAAAAAAGATTTTAATACTTCTTCATTCAACACTGTGCGTTTTGCGACAATTCATAGTAATTAAGTTTATATTGCGTTCAATGTAATTCAATGTTGTTACTAAAACAATACAGTTATAATTGGCAAGAATGAGAAAGTAAAATTTAAGACACCTAGACAAGGCGACCTGTATTTTGTTAAAGAAGAGGTTGAACAGGTTAATGGAGTATTAAAGCAAAGTGAAGACTTAAACATAAAATTGTGGTATAACCTGTTGTGTCGCTTACATGAAAGGAATTTCTCTACGTGGAAAATTAACTGCTTTGATGTTTACAAGAAGGGAAGAGTCATTAACACTAGGTTTACAGAACCCATCAAAATGACGGGTCACTAATTTTTTAATTTACGATTATTCATATCGTGAAGATACATTCGTGAGTTACTTATACAATTTATATGTTACTTACAGCAAATGTTACAATAACACTTGTTAAAAATCAGAATAAATGTTTTATTGTTACCTTTATAAATTAATATAAAACAGCTCGTTTTGTGTGCTCCGTAAATCTAGTGTTAACACAAAAACTTCAAATTGTGCACAAGGTTCTATCTTTTCGACTTGAGTCACTTAGTAAAGCAGTAGATTTTGTTACATTCATTGATAATTATACCCGCTGGTGCGAGATCAGATTTCTATTAAAGAAATCTAATCTTTTGACTGTATTTAAGATATACAAAAATTCTGTTGAGGGACAAACTGATATGAAAATTTAAGCTCTTCAGTCTGACAATGGAACTGAATATTGTAACAGAAAGTTTGATGGCTTTCTCGTGGAACAATGCAGTTGTTTCGCACGTATCCGGCTCGAGGGACTCGAATGTGTCGCGGAAAATGTGTGCGAAGCGAGTCGAGCTTTTTCGACCCGCGATTGCGTTCGCTCGTTAGCGAAGTAATGCCGCGGATGAGGATTCTACGGAATGCCTCGTGAACTCGAGAGAGTGTCCGATTGTACTGTATGTTAGAGCTAGAGCTCGGGCGAGAAAAAGAGCGCGTGTAAGTGTTTTCGACTGTGACTTCTGACTGTTTGACTCCGACTGGTTGACTGCGTTAGACTATGTTTTTCTGCGTTTTTACTGTACGCGCCCCGACTGGTCGCGTTATTTTATATCGGTCACCCCCGTTTGATCCCTAAAGGAACCTCCACCTCCACGCCGGGACGCACTGATTGGTTTTTCTCGAAGATTGCGATTTTCCAATCAGTGTCCTCTAAGCTTTTCGTCACCACCCTCTCGTATCGTCCTACACGAGCCTTGTCTAGGAGAGGGGGGTGTTGCGTAGTTGCGTGGTCGGGAGGTCCCCTGGGGCCTGAGATATCGTCCCCGCGACGGTTGGGACTAAACTTTCTCAAGACCCGTCAAATTCTCAAATTTACGACGGGGTTGTTTTTTCGGGCCTTTCGTGCCTACGACGCGTCGCGGTCATTAAAGAAACGGAAGACCCTGCACCGATGTTCTGCAGATGGAAAAAAGGTTTCCGTCTCTTTATGATCCTCGCTGGTCCACGCCATAAACCTTCGCGAAAGTGGCCTACGGGAGGTCTTCCGGAACGGAACATGCTCCCCCCGTTGAGCGACCGAGTCGGTCAATACACAATCAGCGTACTTATTAGCTAATTCGATCGCGATGTCCTGGGTTGCTTGCGGTATGTTTAAAAATGTCTCTAAGCACTGTGCTCGATGGGCAGAGGTGCCAGTTGTCGCATGTTCCGCTTGTAGACTCCTTGGGAAGTCCGCACGGTCACGACCCTGGCGACGTCGTCCTGTCCTGGGTGGAGTTGTACCACACAGCCGAGACGCCACTGCAGTGGTGGGAGATTATCCTCCTTCAGGACGACGATGGTACCCTTGGTGATGTTGGGCGACCCCTTGGTCCACCTTTGGCGAACGTTGAGTTGATTGATGTATTCCTTGTACCAGCGGGCCCAAAAGTCTTGTTTGACCTTTTGTATGTGTTGCCAATTGGACAGTCGGTTGCTGGGAGTTTTTCTGAAATCAATCTCAGGAAAACTTGTCAAGGAATCACCAATCAAGAAGTGGCCAGGAGTGAGTGCGATGGGATCGTTCGGGTCGGAAGATAGAGGAGTCAAGGGTCTGGATTTGAGGATGGCTTCGACCTCTATCACGAAAGTGTTGAACTGCTCAAATGAGAATAGTTCTTCTCCTACCACGCGCTTCACGTGGTGTTTGAAGCATTTGACGGCGGCTTCCCAAAGGCCGCCAAAATTCGGAGACAGCGCCGGGATGAAATGCCACGAGATTTGCTTCTCCGTTAGGAAGTGGCGGATTTTGTTCTCACCATTGCGCAAGATCTCGTGCATCTCGGACAACATGTTGTTCGCACCAACGAAATTGGTGCCGTTGTCGGAATAGATGTTTTTGCAGATCCCCCTCCGCGAGATGAATCGTCGCAAAGCCCCGATGAATGCTTCTGTGGTCATGTCGCTTACGACTTCAAGGTGTACTGCCTTCGTTGAGAAACAAATGAAGACGGCAACGAACACCTTGAGTCGAGTGCGATTGCGATGTCGTCGTTCTTTTATATAAAAGGGACCACAATAGTCCACGCCGCAATTGGAAAACGGGCGGTGCTCGGTTACTCGTGCGGCAGGTAGGTTTCCCATGCTGCAGGCTGTGGCAGGTGGGTCCATACGGAAGCACTTGACGCACCGCCTCACGATCTTCCGCGTTGCGTTTCTGCCGTCGATGGGCCAATAGGCCTGCCGGACGGCGTACAGGGTAGTCGTGATCCCTGCGTGGTGGTTCTCAAGGTGGGCCTGGCGGATGATAAGTTCGGTCACATGATGACTCTTCGGCAAGAGGATCGGATGGCGCTGATTGTAAGACAGCGTCGAATTTACGAGACGGCCTCCGACGCGTAGCAGTCCTTGGTGGTCGATGAACGGATTCAGCGGAAGGAGCTTGCTCTTTTTGTGGAGCTCGGTGCCGGATCTCAATGAACGAAGATCCAATGCAAACGCTGTTGCCTGTGCCAGTTGTAGGATGCGGACGGTGGCCGATTGGATCTCTTCGATGGTGAGAGGTCCTCTGAATGCTCGTGGATTCTTGAACCGTAGGCAATACGCGGTGACATGTTTTAACCTAGAAAGACAGGAGAATCGGTTCAAAATTTCCTCACTGTTTATGGTCGCGGTGAAACAAGTGAGTCGTTTTCTCTCCGATACATCCTCCCGAATCTCGAATATTGTTTCAGGCCACGTTGATTTATGTGTTGAAAGCCAGGTGGGTCCGTGGCGCCAGTGTTGGTTCTTGATGAACTGCGCTGGTGCTTGTCCCCGGGATAGCAGATCCGCCGGGTTGTCGTGGGAACGTACGTGTCGCCACGCGTTTATGTCGGTTTTACCCTGAACATCCGCTACGCGATTCGCAACGAATGTTTTGAGACCGCTTGGTTCCTTGTGGAGCCAATTCAAAACAATGGTGGAATCGGTCCAGAAGGTGATGGCTGCGGGATCGGTGCCGAGTGCCCCTTGAACCGAGGTCGTCAAAGTAGCCAGCAGGGAAGCCCCGCAAAGCTCCAGTCGTGCGAGCGGAACGGTCTTCAGTGTACCCGTATCCTGCCGCTGGTGCTGATGGATCGAACGTAGATACATGCTCCATACGCTCGCTCGCTGGCATCACAAAATCCGTGAAGCTCGATCTTGCGATGACCCGATTGGGTGACGTTTCTCTGGAATGACAAGTGGTTGAGGTGAACTAGATCCTCTGCGAAGGTTGACCATTCGGTGTGTATGCCAACTGGAAGGGATTCGTCCCAATCGACCTTCAGTTGCCATAACTGCTGGATCATGAGCTTCGCGAGGATAGTAACCGGTCCGAGGAGTCCCAGTGGATCGAAGATCTTTGCTACCGATGACAGGATGGACCGTTTCGTTACCCGTGTGGTAACGTTGTGATTCACGGTGAATCTGATGATGTCCCCTGTTGCATCCCATACCACACCGAGGGTCTTGACGGTGGTCGCGTCACCGAAGACCTTGGGATGTACTTGTTAAGCTGAGAGGTCGGTCAAAAGCCTGGGTTCGTTTGACCTCCATTGACGTATGTTGAGTCCTCCCTTCGCCAACAAGTTGATGACCTGATTGCGTACGGTCTGAGCTTCCTCCAATGTATCGGCACCAGTCAGCAAATCGTCGACGTACAAGTCCCTCTTCAACGTCCTTGAAGCTGCTGAAAAGTGGGACTCTTCGTCGTTCGCTAGCTGGTGTATGCACCGAATTGCTAGAAATGGAGCCGCGGAGAGCCCGAACGTGACCGTATTCAGCTCATACGTAGTGAGCTCGTGGTGTGCGTTTCTCCACAGGATCCGTTGATATTTGCGATCCTCTGGCCGAACGAGGAACTGGCGATACATCTTCTCGATGTCGCCAGTCAGCGCATACACGTGCATGCGAAATCGCAGAAGTAGCAGCCACATGTCGTCCTGTATCGTGGGTCCTATCATCAGCGCGTCGTTCAGTGATAGGCCACTACTCGATTTGGAGGAACCGTCGAACACAACACGGACCTTTGTAGTCGCGCTCGACGACTTTACGACCGCATGGTGCGGCAGGTAGAAACCCGGTGACTGGGGATCATCGATTCCTACCTGAGTCAAATGTCCGAGCGCCAGGTATTCATTGATGACGGTCGAATACTCCGTCTTCAAAGCAGGATCGCGCGAGAATTTCCTCTCCAACGCCAAAAATCGATTGAGAGCGCGAGACCGTGATTCACCGAGCATTGATTCCCTTCCGTTGAAGGGCAGGGCTACGACGTACCGACCTGTCTCGTTTCGCTGAAGATGTTGGGTGAAGTGATCCTCGCATCGTTTCTCCTCGGACGAGAGGTGCCGTTCGGATGGTCCCTCTTCCAATTCCCAAAATCTTCTGAGGTCGAAACTCAACTTTGTCAGGAAGGTTTTTCGCGTCGTTTGAGGTTTCCTTGCCGGTGCGCTCCCCCCGATGATCCATCCCAGTTGGGTTTTCTGGAGGACGAGATCCGGGTTGCCACGTGCAGACAAGTTGATTTGCCCTATGCTGAGCGATGCGAGGGCAGGACCGCTTCCGATCAGCATGTCTACGGGCGCTGGACGGTAGAAGTGTGGATCAGCTAGTGGAATGTTAGCTGGGATGCTGAGTTGACCACGGTCAATCGGCTCCTCCGGTACGAACCCCGCAATGCGTGGGATTGTGAAAAACGTCAAATCCCGCTTGTAGTTCGAAAGACGGGATTTGATGGTGGTTTTCACAATCTTGCTTGTGACCGTTCGCATGGCGTTCAGCGTCTCGATGGTTGCGGCCGATTTCGTGACGGGATGCTGGAGTTTCGCGACGAACTCCTCCGTGATGAAGTTCGCGTTAGCGCAGGTATCGACCAATGCTCGACACGGGATTGAGGGTTGATCGCGACCTGCGACCTCGACGATCGCCGTGGTCATCAACCCATTGGTCGATCCCTCGGTGGCTCGAACGCGAATCCCTTTCCTCGGCTGCTTCCTTCGTCGTTTCCGTCGTGGTCATTCGGGTCTGTCCGTGGATTTCGGCGGATCTTCGTGTAGCTTGGTATTGTGCCGTTTTCCGCATGTTCTGCAATTCCCGGCGTTGCAGTCCTTAGCACGGTGGTCGAAACGCAAACAATTCAAGCACAAGTTCAAACTAGTTGCCGTCTCGATCCGTTTCCTGACTGGCATCTCAAGGAACGTCTTGCATTGAAAGACGGAATGCTCTGCTGTGTTGCAGATTGCACAATTATTACCCTTAGCAGTTACGAAGGCTTGCCCGCTTGCTCTATTCGAGGACTGCGTGGGATATTGTCTCCTCTCTTTCGTCCGGAAGGCACCCGATTTCCGAACGCCTCGTGCGGTCTCGGCTTGGACTTGTTGGACCGTGGGAGTCGAGGTTGAAGGCGTTTCGCAGTCTCTGTACTGATGCGCGGCAAGATTCAAAAACTTGAAGATGTCCTCAATTCTGGGCATCTCCGTAGTCGTCAGGGTGCGTTCCCACGTCCTTCGTATATCTTGCCCCATGCGCGACATGGCGATGCTTGCGAGTAAGTCGCTCGCGATTTGTTCCCACGTCCGACCGAGAGCTTGCAACGACCGTACATGTAGTTGCATGTAATTGGTAAGATCCCGTATGGATTCGGAAGTCTCGTTCGGCATGGTCGGGGTGTCGCGAAGAAGCGCCGCGTGACGAAGAATGAGGGCTCGCTTGTTTTCATATGTCTCGATCATATGATTCCAAGCGGGTTCGTAATTGTCTTCACTGACGGTGAAGGCCTCGATCGTCGTCGCCGCCCTGCCGGTGAGCGAGAGGCGCAAGTAGTTAAGTTTTTGGATATTACTTAACCCAGCGTGCGTGTGGATCATCGTCGTGAATGCGTCCTTGAACGTGACCCATTTCTCCAGCCGGCCGTCGAATTTCGGAAGGTCGATCCGCGGTAGCTTCACGGATAATCCCATCGACAACGCGGACGGTGTAGGTGAGTCTCGCGTTGCGGGATGAAAAGACTGCGCGTGAGTCTGGTCGACCCGTTCCGACGTGGTGACTGCGATGGCGATGGCGTGATCATAGGTATCAGTCACCGTTGCTCGTTCTTCTTCGGCCGTGTCGAAGTCTTCTAGGAGACACAACTCATCCTGGATCTTGTTGAATTCTTCAAACTGTTGTCGAATGCGTTGTGTGCGTTCCCGGAGTTTGACACGCTCAATAACGGAGTCTGCGTATGACTCGACGTATTTAGAGAACAATGTCAATTGCGCCTTGAATGTTCGGCGCTTCGTCTTCAAGGAATGGACGTAGGTTTCGCCCTTGTCCATTCCGCTCGAGAGTGCACTAGTCGTTGCCATTGTTACGGGATCGGCTGCACTCTGGTTTTTCACACCCGAATTATTTCCGTAGATCGCGGATCCGGCTCGAAGGACCCAAAATGTTTCGCACTTATCCGACTCGAGGGACTCGAATGTGTCGCGGAAAATGTGTGCGAAGCGAGTCGAGCTTTTTCGACCCGCGATTGCGTTCGCTCGATAGCGAAGTAATGCCGCGGATGAGGATTCTACGGAATGCCTCGTGAACTCGAGAGAGTGTCCGATTGTACTGTATGTTAGAGCTAGAGCTCGGGCGAGAAAGAGAGCGCGTGTAAGTGTTTTCGACTGTGACTTCTGACTGTTTGACTCCGACTGGTTGACTGCGTTAGACTATGTTTTTCTGCGTTTTTACTGTACGCGCCCCGACTGGTCGCGTTATTTTATATCGGTCACCCCCGTTTGATCCCTGAAGGAACCTCCACCTCCACGCCGGGACGCACTGATTGGTTTTTCTCGAAGATTGCGATTTTCCAATCAGTGTCCTCTAAGCTTTTCGTCACCACCCTCTCGTATCGTCCTACACGAGCCTTGTCTAGGAGAGGGGGGTGTTGCGTAGTTGCGTGGTCGGGAGGTCCCCTGGGGCCTGAGATATCGTCCCCGCGACGGTTGGGACTAAACTTTCTCAAGACCCGTTAAATTCTCAAATTTACGACGGGGTTGTTTTTTCGGGCCTTTCGTGCCTACGACGCGTCGCGGTCATTAAAGAGACGGAAGACCCTGCACCGATGTTCTGCAGATGGAAAAAAGGTTTCCGTCTCTTTGTGATCCTCGCTGGTCCACGCCATAAACTTTCGCGAAAGCGGCCTACGGGAGGTCCTACAGAACGGAACAGCAGTCGTCTAAGATTAAACGCATCAAGAGAATGATATCGCTGGAAGAAAGAATTGGATTCTAGTTGAAATGGCGTCAAGGTTACCACAGTCTTTTTGGGCTGCGGCAGTGGCAACACGAGTTGTGGAAAGGAAGACAGTTCGAGTTACGTTGTTTTAAAACCTTTGGAGCTGAAGTGTATTTTTTTTAGATAAATCCTCAAAAGGGGGGAAATTCGATGCTCGTTGAAAAAAAGAAGAATTTTTATGCGATACTCAAACGAAGCGGTTACCGCAGATATAAACGTAAATCGAAAATTTTACGTATACTCGTCACGTACGTTCGAGGATTCCTCGGATCTATATCATGAATGATATGCGTGCGAAGGGTTTACACTTTGCGTTTACCGATGTTGACTATGTCAGACTTGTTTCTTATTCGCGAGAGGCTGGCGCGAACTGCTTAAGTGCTGCTGGACTGCGGTTGCTGATCGTTGATTTACGTGGAAATACCTAATTCGTCTCGGACGATTTCCGGGATTTGAGCGATTGAAAATACTAGCGGCCTCAGAGCTATGGGAATCAGAGGTCTCCACATTGATTACTGGGCGATGCGAGGAGGCCGAAATTCCATGATCTATGCAACTAGATCGTAATATACGAGGTAGCCGGTATCGGAATCGACAGTAGTGATACCGCTGAATATTTCGATGTCTTTCTTGGTGTATCAATGCCAAGGGACGCACTGACCTCGCAAATACGACAGAGTCAATTTTTTCAGTTCGAATTTCCATCCGGCGCGTTTAGGCATTAATACAATGTTATAACATGCGTGCGTCTACTTAATATATTTCCTCAACTACTTCGGTGACATGTAGAACATTCTGGGTGAGTTCAATATACACGTTTTCTGAAGTATAAGCGGTTAATCGATTATGCATTCGTATTGTTACGGCGACTTGTCCACATCAAGTCGCTGTAATATGAAACTGCCCTGTTGTGAGCAACTCCTTAAAGAAAAATAGAAGAGAGGGGTTGCCACGGAGGTGTGTTATCAACGGGCAATCGAGGAGTCGAGTTCGGATCATCGAGCGATCAACGTTTCTAATTCAAAGATCTCTAACATAATTGAATTTAGTTGTATTATAGTTTATGTACTTTATTGTAAATAAAATGCCGCGACGCGGGAGAAGTGCAGTAATTCGAAACAGCATCAAGCATTCTAGGTGAATTCAGGATATACGAAGGCGTAATCCAATTCTATTAGTGCAACAATTCTACTTAACCGTGGTTGGGATTTAGGAATTTTGAAAGTATTAAATGTAGAATTCGATGTGATAGCAAAAATAAGTATGTATTCAAATTATATAGAAGAGTACACACTACTGAAAACAAAGCTTGAAACGAGAATTAGTAACGTTGGGGAACGCGAGGGCTTCTAAGAGAGAACTGCTCTCGCTGGAATCTGGACTAAATACGGGATGTCTCAAAAATGTCTCGTAATACGGAAATGGGGGGTAGCTGAAATCATTTGAAATAATTTTTACCTTAGCGAAAATACAATCTGCGGCTTTGTTTACGAGTAATTAACGAAAAACACTGACGAATAAAAGGAAAGCGCACGAACTACAACGTGGTCGATCGCTCGAAAGCGCAACGAGCTCTGACCGCGGAGCTCGACAGAAGAAGGGGGCTCCGTGCCGCGTTCGAAACAATGAACAAATCACGGTGCGTGAACTTCCGATCTTTTTTATCACATGACAGTGATAACTTTAAGAAAAACGCTGTTAGTAGGTTAGATAGCCACGTTCTAAGCCATGGTGCTCGAGGGGTAAGTCGAACCGCGGGGCAAGGGGGGAATCCAGCCGCGGCAACCGCGGGGCAAGGGAGGGGAATCCAGCCGCAGCGAGCGCCGGTGGGTAACGTTTTTTAAAGCGGTCTTCTCGTTTTATTGAAATTTAATTATGCAGCATTTTTTTATCGCGCTTGCATTTTTACATTGTAGGAGATGTGTGCGGAGCAAAGGGAGTTAAGGCGTTTTCGCGAATTTGCGGTTTCGCATTCCGAATGACTCTCGAACGCGTTATCTTCCGATGGTATCAGTTTTCACATCTTATTGAATTTTCTTTCGCTAAATTCGCTATTCAGTCATGAATCGTTATGGAAGTTTGTTCGTTTGCAACATCCATCGCGAGCGTGCCATCCTTCCATCCCTCGCAACGTCCAAGATATTTTCTTTCGTGTGACGTTTACGCGATACTAGATACCATCGGGATGGGAGAGAGTCGCAACGGTTGGTTGATGCAAAGTTTAGTTAAGTTTGTTAAAACTGGTAATTTAACCGAAGACGTTAAATTGAAATTGAAAAGTTTGCTTCGTAAGTAAATTTTCGTAAGATGACGCAAGTGTGCAAGGATATGTTACAATTATTGCCTCGTATGTCGACGTTGATCCGAACCATCGACGAGTATCGCGAATGGACGAAATCATACATCGAGTGTTTGCGGTTGTGTAGAAAATGCATGAACATCGAGAAAATAAACCGAGGATCCACGAGTGTAAAATCGAGCTTACNACTGAAGAGAGCCGTCGTCAACGTGAACAGTAACCACGACGCGTGTTTCTATTGGCTAGTGGTGGCAAGTCTGTATCCAGTTAAAGATCATTCGTATCGCGCATCATCCTATCCCCATTACGGCGATGTGCTCCGTACCGAGGGATTCCAAATGCCGATGTCGTTCAAAGACATACCGAAGTTCGAAGAGGCGAACGACGTTTCCGTGAACGTGTTCGAATGGGATAGGAAACGAGAAAGCTGTCAAACGTTACATCTAACCTCGAGGAAACGGGAGAAACATGCAAATTTGTTGTTTCTACAGGATACGATAAATTTGCGAAATCATTACGTCAGTATAAGGAATTTATCCCGTCTTGTTTCATCCCAGCTCAGCACGCAGCATCATAAGTATATTTGCGATCGGTAAGTACTGTACTCGAATTTATTTTATAAATTATAGCATGGATTTCTTTTTCAGGTGTCTGCAATATTTCAGATCGCTGGAAAAATTGAACATTCACGTCGTCGACTGCGGTTGAATGAACGAATGGGCCTTGATACTTTTGACGGAAGACGATAAGTGACTGAAGTTCAAGAACCACGCGTACAAGGAACCGGCACCGTTCGTTATCTACGCAGACTTGGAATGCCTGCTGGAGAAACAGGAAGATCAAGGTCATGGAACTTGTCGCAGATATCAGCATCACCGTGCCTTCAGCGTAGGCTACTATCTTCATTGTCGATACGACAGCTCCCTGTGCGAGTATCGTACTTATCTTAACGAGAAAGATTTTATTGCGTGTTCGCATCGGAGTTTTACAAGTTGAGCCTTAAATTGCAGCCGGCGTTCGATCGGGTGGTTCCGATGACTACAATGACTGCCGCGCAAATTTCGGAATTCCATACCGCCACGCATTGCCACGTGTGCGAAGAACCATTCGGCGATCGCGACGTACGAGTGCGCGATCATTGTCATTTCACGGACGCGTATCGTGGTCCAGCACACAATAATTGTAATTTGGGCTACCGTTCTTCGTTCGTGGTACCGGTGTTTTTTCACAACTTGTCCGGCTACGACGCACACTTCATCATCAAGGAGTTGGCTAACACGTTCGAAGGTAAAATAGATGTGCTACCTCTTACGAAAGAGAAGTACATTTCTTTTTCGAAACACACGAAGAACGTGGACAAATCGCGGAAGAAACATANTGTGCTACCTCTTACGAAAGAGAACTACATTTCTTTTACGAAACACGCGAAGAACGCGAACAAATCGTGGAAGAAACATAAAGTTCCGATTCGTCGATTCCTTCAAGTTTTTGAACTCCAGTCTGGACAAGCTGTCGTCGTATCTTGACAAGAGCGATTTGTGAATCTTGAGGAACCAATTCGGGCAAATTTGTGACGACGATTTCCATCTGCTAACCAGGAAAGGCGTTTTCCCGTATGACTACGTAGCGACCTACGATATATTAACCCCTTAATGCACAATTTAAAAAAAGAAAACCGATCAAAAAAAATCAATTTTTTTTATCTAAGAAAATACATATTTGGACCTTAATTTCAATAAATATGTAAAAAAAATGCAAAAATTACTAAAAATTCAATAAAAATAGTGGATAAATAATTATAGTGAATATTGAATCGCATTGCAGATCGAATTTTGTACCCATCGTACTGTTTTTCAATTACCAGTTACTATTTTGAAGGGGAAGGAGGAGACGAAAAAAAAACTGAAAAATATTTAATTTTACCTAAATTTGTAATAATATAATAATAATATTTATTAGCTGAAAAATATATAATAAACTAAAACTA